ACACACAAACTTTAACGAGGTTCGAAGGTGGGGTAATCCTTCTACGTCCTCAAAATCCACTATGTAGTTGGTTGTTGAATAATGAACCAACAATTACACTTGTGTGAATTTCTGCACGGTATATCTTCGCAAGACCAATGTTGCTACTGCACTCGTGCTGGCTTTGTTGTTCCTTCGAAGGTCACGCTTCTTCAACAACTGCAAGGTCCGAACAATAGGACTTGCAAGATCAACTTGTAAGAAAGTTGACCTACCCCCTTTTAATCAATAAGTTTGATCAAAAGTAGTATCCTTCAACGTGGTGTGGTACTTGAGGCAAGAAACCTTCAAGTGTTTACACTATAGCTCTTTGGAAGGAGGAGGAGTTTGCTTCTGGATAAGGAGTTTAGAAATCTCTCTTTATCAAGCTTTTTGGGCTAACTGTGAATGAGATAGCTTTGTTGTTTAGAGATTGCTTCGTTGTGTAGTTGTATCAACATATCTCATCGTCATTCTTTTCTCCAGTCTTCCAAGGATGCTATTTATACTTGGATTGGATAATCTATCCGTTGAATCATAATAGACTATCCGTTGCATTTGCTGGCTTCAATTTTGAATGAAGATTGTGATTTGAAGATTCTTTGTTGAAGTGGGTGTTTGGACGTACCCAATTGTTTAGGAAGGATTCCTTTTTCTACAGAATCCGTCTTTTAGCTGTTGTTCAAGAATTCAAGACTGTAGCACTTTACTCTGTTTGTCTTCTAGTGCTTGTTTAGGAATTCTGGGCAGGCTTTTTAATTTTAGAGGTCCAGACTTTGTCTTCGAGTAATTTGTTCTTGAATCAGCAAGATTATCTTCAATCTAGCCGTTGAAAATCAAGAGATTGATTTTTCCTTACCAACGGGTAGAATTTCTTCATTCAAGACTTAGATAATTTTTCTAAGTCTTTTCTCACTTGTCTGCTTTCTAAGAATTCCGGTCTTCAATGAGTCTTCCGATTCTTAGCTGACAAATCCGGAGAAGTCATTCTTAGTCTTCCGGGTGAGAAAGAGATCCGCGCTAGTCTTCCGACTTGGATGACTTAGCCTTCAGCGGGTTGTAGCGAGACATCCGGTTCTTATGTAGTCTTCCGGATCAGAGGATTTTCTTCTGTTTGAGAAATCCTTACTTGTCTCTGACATTTCCGATCAAGATATCCAATTTCCATATCACTAAATTTGATTAAGTCTTCAGGCATCAAAACGCTTAAAGAAATATCACAACTTTATTGGAAATCTCAAGAACTCGGTTTTGACAATATTTCTAAAAAGAAAAATTACATTGAATAATGGGGAAGACCTAAAGTCCCTATTACATTCTAAATACATCATCATCAAAATCTATAATATTTTTCCCAACAACTTCCATTATATCTGTTTGTTTGTCATCAAAACGTTGGAAGTTTTAAAGAAACGAATGTTTATATTTCCATGCTAGAAAATCGATGAACTTACAAGGTTTCAAAACATTTATATTAACGAGCACATAACTTGATAACATGGGCTCACGTATGTTGGATGGTTAACCTACAAACATGCATAGATTCTAATTCCTATGAATATAACGACATAGATTATAACTAAATGTTCTAGAATTAGAGGGACAACTACTCACCTCTAAACGAAGGGGTTGATGAAACTATGAGACGAAATGAAGGAACGGTTAGCAACGAACCAACGAACGAACGAACGGACAACCTCCTGCGTGCCTTTCCTCCTCTTCTACCTTCCGTCTAATCGCCGAAATCCTCCATGGTTTGCTTGCTGCCTTGGCCGAACAAGAGGAAAGGGAAGAGAGAGAATGTGTGTTGAATATGGGGGTTACAAAAAGTGAAGGAGGAAGGGAATGGGTTGGGGGTTTAAAAATAAAAACAATGATGAAAATTAATGGGCAATGATGGTGATGTTGATGGGGGCCGAACCAAGGCTTAGGGGGTTACAAATATATTTTACTCCGTTATGTAGAATCTGACCTAAACGGTACGCGCTTTCCCCCCCAAATGGGTCCAAATTGAGATATGTTGGCGTTTATGGAATCAGACAGTCTAAACGAATTTAATGATATAATCAAATAATTTTTCTAAGAACTTTACATTTTCCCCAAATCCAGTCCGGAACGATTACTTCCATGAGTCCTGTTTTTCGATTCATGTTCTATGTTTTGACACGGATTCTCAAGCCTAGGAAGTTCAATCACACCACTCTCTCCCAAGCAGTGGCGGATCCAGAATTTTAAATAGTTGGGGGCAGAAAAAGTCGGGGTTTAGGTGAAGCACCTAAGTTTTTTCAATAGAAAATTTAAAATAATAAAAAAAGTTATAAATATTTAAATAATTTTTTGATGTGATTTTTTGAATAGACAATTTAAGATTTTATATTTTAAAATATTACTTATAATTATATGCATTGAAACACACTTTAATTAGGGTCTCTTCAATTTTAGTTGGGGTCAAATAATAGATGACTGTAAAAAATTTAAAAAAATAACCTTAAAACCCAAAAATTAGTTGGTGGCCATTGCCCCCTACTTCTAAGGCATAGATCCGCCCCTGCTCCCAAGAGGACACGAAGACGCTCCATGCGATGATTCACAACGCCAACATCAATTGGTGTAAATTTGTGATGACTCACATGTTCAACGCCACCTCCGACAACCGGCCCCTTCCCTATGCTCTTCTTTTCATGGCGATCCTTGATGAGTTCCACATCAAGACGGACGTCGGTCTGAAATGCAAAGGGACGAAGCATTGGGAGATTGATGAGTCTTCCTTTCACCCGAGGACCGATGAATCCCCGTTCCCGCAGCCTCGTCCACGCCACCAACCAAGGGCCGCTGCTTCAACCAACCCTTACGCTCAACTACCCTTACGCTCATTGGGAGATGTGAGTTTCACGGGTATTTTGACTTTGTCAACTACCCTTACGCTCAAATGGTCCCTTATGTTCCTCCACCAAACCTCGGTGGTGAACCAAGTGGGACTAACAACGTTGGGTGGGGAAGAAGTGGTAGACGTTGAGGAAGAGGAAGAGGAAGCCGAAGAAGAAGAAGAAGAAGAAGAAGAAGACGATGATGATGATGATGATGATGATGGTGGTGGTGGTGATGAAGAGGAAGAGGAAGACATCGACGAAGAACAACTTCTCGATGACCTTTCACCGGATTTCTAGAGCTCTAGCTATTTTCTCCTCTCTTCTTTATTTATTATGCTTTTTATATTTGCTTCCGTTATGTACTCCGCTATTTCCTTTTTTTAATAAATAAAAATATTTATGTTTTTTGTTGTTAAATCTTTTAGTTAATGTCAAAAGGGGGAAGATAAGGGCTATGCATAAATTAAGGGGGAATTTTTATTAATGGGGAATTTTTTTTCAAAAAGATCAAAACCCTATGCATATCCCCGTCTTGTTTGCCATTATCAAAAAGGGGGAAATTGTTGGAACACACTTTTTATAAAGTTAAACTAAAATCGTGTTCATTTCTGAGCTCCAAAATAGCATTTTTTTCAAAATGCTATTTTTGAGCTCCAAAATCCTATTTTTGATACCAATTAATTATAAACAATATAAATATGATTTTGTACAATAAAAATGATGTTTTTGACATATAAAACATTATGTGATGCATGACGGTAAGTACGGGTGTTAACACTCGAAGCTAGGCCGCTATTTGTTATGAATTATTATGTTAATTGATGATTATGATAAATGAATATTATGGATGATTATGAGTAATGAACCTACTGATTAAAATGAGTATTTATAATTGAATCATAATTAAAATAAATACATTTATAATTATGAAATGATTTATAGTGTTAAGGATATCTAGAAGAACTCTAAAATACACCCATTTAGAGAATTGATGTTAAGGCTATCTAGAAGACCTCTAGAATAGATCTCATATTAGTATGGATTTGTGAAACATGAATATTCACTGATTAGATAAAAATGCATAAACGAGATTCGTAGACCAAGCTAGAGTATTACTCGTTTGGGAATGTCCGATCTAATGTTGATCAATCACTATATTGTTGTTGCCTTAACTGACTACAGTTGAGTGTCCGAAATCATTTGCCTTAAACTAATGATAGTTTAAGTGTCTTATTGCCTTAACTGACTACAGTTAAGTGTCTGAAATCGATTGCCTTAAACTAATGATAGTTTAAGTGTCTGATAATTAATTGCCCTTTTTAAGAGCATTATTATGATCTGGCCTTAGACTAAGAATAGCTAAGAGCATTGTTATTATCTGGCTTTAGACTAAGAATAGCTAAGAGCATTGTTATGAAATGGCCTTAGACTAAGCTAAGAAGCATTGTTACTATTTGGCCTTAAACTTAAGAATAATCTAAGGTTACTGTCAGAATAATATCTGAATTGAATAAAATGTGTTGATATGAACTGAACATTATCAAAACTGTGAATGTATGAAATGAACATTGTGTGCATGATATCAAATGATTTGATCATGAATTTAGATTCAGTTTATATGGATGTTCGACGCATTAGATATGCTTACTCAGCTTTACCGCTGAGCGTGTAGTGTGTTTTATTTGCTACACGCAGGTAAACAAAAAGACCAATGTGATCCTGGCGGCAGATGGGGCGAGATCGTCGGGATGGATGTGACAAGTTTGAAATGATTTATGATGTGTCAATATTAAATTCGCTTCTGCAATATTGTTGAATACTCCGTACTGTATATGTTATGAAAAATATTACTGTGATAAATAAAAGTGTTTGAAAAGTTTTAAATTTTTACAATTATCAAGTTAAATACTTTAGTCCGAAAAGGGCTGCAGACCTGGACGGATTAGGGTGTTACAATTTGGTATCAGAGCAAATGGTTTTGAAACCGATCTTCGGATCAAAATTTGATTTAAAAAAAAATGTTGCTCACATCCACGACTCTCGCATCCCTCTGCTCTAGGAAAGGTATGAGAATTTACTTAGTAAATATTGACAATATTGAATTCTCATTAGATAACATTTGTTAGTACTGAAATCGTATCGAGCATAGACTCAAGTTGAATTTTCGTACTCGGTGAAGAGACGAAAGAATAAAAAAAAATATGACCTCTAATACGTTATCAACGTACGCACCGCATCGCGAGTAACGAAACTGATCTCCATCGAAAGGACGTACGAAAGTGACACGACTATGAAGAAACGACTAATGTTGAATAACATCCGCAAAGCTATTGTCAAAGATCCTCATGTGGACTGAAGACGATCAGATTGCTGATTTAAACGAGAACGTTTAGGATCAATAAACTCTGGATCCCATTCTGATGTCTGATTCATTACAGCACAATATGTGATTATATTGTGTGAATCGAAATCATTCGTTAATTGAAAATTCTTTACAAGATCTCGTTGGAATACCATACAAGGAAATTGACATTATCCTTAATATGAATTGGCTGAACGTCGTTGCTATTGACAACTCGTGATGAAGAATTCCTCAACTAAAAACCAATGATGTTAACCTCATATAGGTGAAAGCAAAGCTGATTATTAAACTGACCGAATTCATCTCGACTGAGTACGCAAACAAAGATGGATCAATTAAACTCCTATCAATTACCATCGAATGAAATCGTTATCCTTATCTCGTATCTATGACTTATTTGATCAGCTTAGAGAATTCATTGTGTTCTCTAAGATTGACTTACGGTCAAAGATACTATCATATCTCTGTTAAGATAGACAAACTGACGATCAAGAATCGCTACCCTTTACTATAAATTGACGATTTGTTTGGTCAAATTCAAAGGAACCTACTTATTAGAAGCTATGGATAGCTCAATCTTGTTGAATGAGGTGACACATTGTTATGACACAATTAGTGACTTAAAAATCGATGTATTTTGATAGAATAAATATCCGTTGTCAACTCGTCTATTCAAGTCAAAAAAATCCTAACGAAGGAATTTCTGTTATTGTAGAATGAGTCAAGAAACTGCTCACAATCAAAGTAACCAAGTGCCAAGCGATGGGCACGAAAATGTTCATACTGAAGCATCCAGTTTCACACCTCCTATTCAAACTGAAAAAGTGAACTCACAACATATTCCCCAAAATGATCAAAATGTCGGAGGTCAACCTGACACTATGCTACCTACCTTAATGGTAAACTTCTTGCAACAAATGACCAATGCCCCTATATTTCAACCACCTCCACCACCACTTCGTTTGATCACTTTCAAAACCTTGAAAGATAATGGTGCTGAGGAGTTCTTGGGAGATCGAATTGCCGAACCCCAGATCGCTCTTGAATGGATCGAGCAGACCGCTCGTGTACTGCAAAATCTGAACATACCTCTTTCTGATCATCCAAAATTTGCAACTCAATTGCTCCGCAAGGAAGCCTATGAATGGTGGAAACGCACTAACGAAAATCCAAACACACCCAAACCGTGGACATGGGAATTCTTTGACTATGCGTTCAAGAAGGAATATATACCAGCTCGATTCCGTGAAGAGAAGCGTGCTGAATTTATCGAATTAAAGCAAGGAGATATGACACTCCCTGAATACCGACAAAGATTTGTCCATCTCGCTCAATTTGCACCCACACTGGTGAGCATAGCGGCTGACCGCATTGAGGAGTTTCGCAAAAGACTTCGACCTGATCTCAGGCCGCACGTATCTACTATTCAAACTATTGATTTCATTGAGGCATACGACCTAATCTCTAAAGCCGACAAAGATCTAAGTGATTATTATGAAAGTTTGAAGATTGAAGTTGTCAATGTAAATGAACAACCCAATACAAGTGGGAAGAGACCTCTGCAAGAAATTGATAGTGCCCTACACTCAAAAAGGGGAAAATAAATGACAATTCAATCGACGTCATCCATGAACAAAATGAGAGTATGGAAACATCCAAAGTGTAACGTTTGTAAAAGACACCATCCAGGAGATTGCTGGCGTGCGCAAGGATTATGTCTAAATTGTGGTAAACCTGGACATTTCCAACGAGAATTTTCCTCTAACCTTAAATCCTATTCAGTTACTTATGTCCAAAATCAACTTATTTGCTCAGGAACAAGTCAATGTTCTAAAACACGAAACAATTCAAAGAATTCAACCCAAGGATGATACTTTATGAAGATCCTAAGGTGCTACAGGGCTTGAGGATATATTGAATAATGTAGAGATCTTATGTAAACAAGAAATTATCTTTCGATTTGTATCCCAAGAATATTCGTAACTGCTAGAATCTTCGTGTATTGAACACTTTGTATAATAAAATCTTTCATTGACTCATCCTTAGAAAATATTTGATATTTACATGATGCATTCTGATGTTGAAAATAGATATTTTTCTAACTTGCACTGGCCATGCAACTTAGAATAATATTTATGGTTAACTCATAATGTTCATAGACAATATTATTCCATCATAAATTCAACTGAAAGTACATAAAGTAATATTACAAATGTAATTCTAAATCTAATCCCCCAGGATTTACAAACTCGTCATAATTAGCCCCAGGACCTGGAAAAGCTTTAGCAAACGCTAGCTTGTTTAAAAGATCATCAATAAAGAAAGAAGAAATAAAAAGCTTCCTCTAACTAGAAGCCATAAAGTTCTGCCTTACAACATCATCTAGAAATTTTATTAAGTTATTGAAATAACCATCAATGTTCAAAAGACCAATGGGTTAACTCTGCAACCCTTCGGATGCCCATGAGATCAAAGTGAACAAACCTTCCATAGTGTCAATCCCTCCAGGAAGAACGATGATGGCTTCCACAATATGATTCAGCTCGAAATACTTATAGTAGTTGCTAGAAACTGTATATTCTGCACCATACGTAGGTCCGTACACATGTCGTGTTGCTATGTACCCTGGAATGAAGCCTCTAACTATACCACCATTGGTATAGACCGTTGAAGCAACAGCTCCTTGAAGGCCAACGTTGCCTCCTCCATATGTAAGCCTTATTTTTCTCCTTACCAATTCCCTTCCTAAATCTACCGCCGTAGCCATGAATCTTTGATTTCTACCAAGAGCATGACAACCAAGTAGACCAACAAATTTTATGGTGTAAGGAAAAGTTCGAGAAGTTCCTTCCATATTGTGAGAATGTGAGATACTCTTGCCACAATTGTGATATATATAGGCCCTGAAACCTGACCTTTGAGAAAAAGAGAAGTATCCTCAGCTGAAATTTGTACAGCAAAGATGGATTCAATTTACCTATTGACAATGACGTACTCGCCAATACTACAGTTTGCTGACGATATGAGACTCATGAATGGTTAGATTCGCTGTCCTGAAATACGTTCAAATCAGAGACGAAAAGTCAATATGGCTATTGCCCCAAAACAACGACCCCTTGAGTAACTTGATAGATTACGTAACGACGTATGGATAAAAATTATCTCCAAATTTCAAACTATTCCTATCGTGACCCTTCTACAAAGGCTATTGAGGAACTTTTCGATCGAGAAAAGATTTCTGCTGATCAATGATGTACAAACGAGACTCGTGACTGAACAAAGCTAGGTGCAAATATGTCAAGTATACAATACTACACACTTTGAAGGAAACTTTTGAAATGATCAGTAAATGCCTTGCTTAATTGAAGTTTGTTAATCTCTCGAATGTTGAGCGAGTTAAGTGACATCAATGATTTAAGAATACGTATCTTCAAGATAAAGCGTAACCATGTGAACGTGACTTTGTCACGATTAATTATGAATACAACAAACGTTGATTATGGACCTTAGAAGAATTTCGAGGACGAAATTCCTTTAAGGGGGAGAGAAATGTAATGCCTCAAAATACACCCTAGAATTATTAATAAATAAATAATCAATTAATCAAATTTGTTTTGATTAAAATTAAATGTTTGTTGGGATTTGGGCCAAAATGAAATATGTTTGAATATTGAATATTACAATCAGGATAAGTCTCATATAGATAAACCCAATTTGTTGACTATTTGTGTGGTCTTGATTGAGAACTTGAGTACAGACCCAAATCAAGAATAAATGAAGAAATTATTTATGATGTGAACTTTGAAATGATTTATTGAAATAAATCATTAGAACAAATGATATGAATTAAATGTGAGAAACCTTTTTGAATAAAGATCAATTAAATCAATTTTGACTCTGTCAAAGTCAAACATCCAAAAATATGATGTCAGAAAAAGTATAACGAATAAATATCAAAATTATATCGTTGAATAGAGTTTAACTGTCTGATCGCAACGGTACAAACAGAATTCAATTCGGATAAAGTTGAACCAAAAAGTGTACCCCAACTAGAACCAAAATTGGTCCCAATCAGGAAACTGTTCAGTCGGCGCCTCCAAGCGCACTACGCGAATCAGCGTCCCTCCAAGCGCACTACGCGAATCAGCGTCATCCCACTACGTCTTCTTCTTCTTCCCCACTCTATATAAGGAAAAACTCAATTCACTCATTTCTTCACCATTCTCCATAATTCTTCATCCTATTCTGTTCCTTGTTGAGAGAGGAGTACACTGGTGCCATTATTTTGGTAAGAGGTCGCCGGAGCAAGTCGTGGTGTTCGCCGGAAGTTTCACCGTCCAATCTCCGGAATCATCGTTAAGCTACAAGGTAAGCCCGTAGATATATCTAGTGATTAGAATGTTCGTATAGATCGTTTCTACGTTCATAAACGGTTGTTTGGTTGAGTTTTGTGTTTGACATTTTTTGAGGAACCAAGAATCATAAACCTTAAATTTGTTGTTAAAAATTTGAATTGATGCCTCTAAAAGGATCTACAAACCTTGGAGAACATTTCTATATAGTTTAATTGAAGTTTGGTAACCTAAAACGAAGCTTGAGAAAAATGGCCGAAAGAAGAAGATGATGAATAGTAAATTCTGTGCTGATACGGGACCCTGGTACCGTGTCCAGGTACCGTGTCTAGGTACCGTCAGAAGAGAAAATTTCAGAACGGTACGGTCGACCGTTTGGACCCAACGGTCGACCGTTACGAACATTTTTCAGTCCAAAAATGCTATTTTTGAGCTCCAAAATCCTATTTTTGATACCAATTAATTATAAACAATATAAATATGATTTTGTACAATAAAAATGATGTTTTTGACAAATAAAACATTATGTGATGCATGACGGTAAGTACGGGTGTTAACACTCGAAGCTAGGCCGCTATTTGTTATGAATTATTATGTTAATTGATGATTATGATAAATGAATATTATGGATGATTATGAGTAATGAACCTACTTATTAAAATGAGTATTTATAATTGAATCATAATTAAAATAAATACATTTATAATTATAAAATGATTTATAGTGTTAAGGATATCTAGAAAAACTCTAAAATACACTCATTTAGAGAATTGATGTTAAGGCTATCTAGAAGACCTCTAGAATAGATCTCATATTAGTATGGATTTGTGAAACATGAATATTCACTGATTGGATAAAAATGCATAAACGAGATTCCTAGACCAAGCTAGAGTATTACTCGTTTGGGAATGTCTGATCTAATGTTGATCAATCACTATATTGTTGTTGCCTTAACTGACTACAGTTGAGTGTCCGAAATCATTTGCCTTAAACTAATGATAGTTTAAGTGTCTGATTGCCTTAACTGACTACAGTTAAGTGTCTGAAATTGATTGCCTTAAACTAATGATAGTTTAAGTGTCTGATAATTAATTGCCCTTTTTTAAGAGCATTATTATGATCTGGCCTTAGACTAAGAATAGCTAAGAGCATTGTTATTATCTGGCTTAAGACTAAGAATAGCTAAGAGCATTGTTATGAAATGGCCTTAGACTAAATAGCTAAGAAGCATTGTTACTCTTTGGCCTTAAACTTAAGAATAATCTAAGGTTACTGTCAGAATAATATCTGAATTGAATAAAATGTGTTGATATGAACTGAACATTATCAAAACTGTGAATGTATGAAATAAACATTGTGTGCATGATATCAAATGATTTGATCATGAATTTAGATTCAGTTTATATGGATGTTCGACGCATTAGATATGCTTACTCAGCTTTACCGCTAAGCGTGTAGTGTGTTTTATTTGCTACACGCAGGTAAACAGAAAGACCAATGTGATCCTGGCGGCAGATGGGGCGAGATTGTCGGGATGGATGTGACAAGTTTGAAATGATTTATGATGTGTCAATATTAAATTCCCTTCCGCAATATTGTTGAATACTCCATACTGTATATGTTATGAAAAATATTACTGTGATAAATAAAAGTGTTTGAAAAGTTTTAAATTTTTACAATTATCAAGTTAAATACTTTAGTCCGAAAGGGGTTGCAGACCTGGACGGATTAGGGTGTTACAACCAATAGTTCTGGCAACCCAAAAAACACTAAATAATTTTAAAATCAACTTAAATGAAAGCACTTTTTTAATGAAAACATTTCATTCTTATGAAATTATGTGAAAAATTATAGTGTTTAAAAACAAAAAAATCGTGAGAATAGAGCACGTGGTTCATGAAAGTCATTTTGAATCATTTTCATTTTTAATTTGACAAATAAAGACCCCCTACTTCCCAAATTAATTTTTAAAAGTGTGATTATTTTGTTCAACGAATTTATTTATAAACATATTTAAATGAGCTTAATTGAAAAAATTTCTACCTAAACGATAACATTTCATTCTTACGAAAATTTTGAGAACTAAACACAGGGTAAATACAAGTCATTTTGAAGGATTTTCATTTTCCATATAAAAGCTTAAAACTACCTACGTCCCAATTTGATTTATACACTGAATCTTTAAGGGACAAATTTAAACTCCCTACGTCCCACTTCTTGAGTCATACATATAATTTAATAAAAAAAATCGTTATTTACTGTGAGTAGTGGACACAAACAACCAAAAATTATGGTTACCCAAAAAAGACTATTTTTTTAAAACAACTTAAATTAAAATACTTCACCCTAAATGAAATAATTTCTTTCTTTTGAAACACTTCGGCCTAAATAAAAACTTCTTACATTGCAATTTGTTATAAAGTCATTCTTCTAGGGATAAATTATAAGAAAACCCCCTAAATAGGAGTAAAACATGGATCATGTCCTTAAAATAGGAGTTCAAACTTAAACTCTTCTAAATAGGAGTTATTAATTAAATATATGTTTTGATTAGCCTTGGCCGCACAAACAACTCTCTTTGCGATCAAGAATCTATGGCGATCAAGAATCCATTCAATGTTACCTCTCCTTGCGATCAAGAATCACGGCGATCAACAACTAAATTGGTCTTAATTCTTTCAACCACATGGATAAATTTGAAATCAATTTTATGTTCAGTTTAAAATAAGAGGTGACATTCCTTTTTAATTGTGAATTTAATTCTTAAGGAATTTTTTTGTAAAATTCGTATTGAAACTGAATGATTATGATGTTGGCAAATAGTAGAATTTCTTGACATTTACTCCTTTTGGACATTATGCATTGACATATCTTTCATTACACATTGTCAGGAATGACATTATACAATGTCAAGGTTGACAGTATCTATTTAATTTATTTAGCATTATGCATTTGCATTATAACCTTATACATTGACATGATTGCCATTATATACATGTGGCATTTAGTATGTTCTTTTTTTACACTGTATAATAAACATTCTAATGTAGCAATTTACGTTGACACTATTGAAAATGTGTGAGTGTGTGTATTGATATTAAAACGCAATCCATCATATTCAATAGGAAGAACTATTATTCTAGTCATTCACTTTGATAATTGTATTAATTAAGAAAAAAGAATCTTAATTTTGTTTCTCATTGCATTTTTATTCATTTTAAAAATAAGACAATAAAAATGGGGCATTCAAAGATTTAAAAATGGCACATTATCTCTTAGATGAAAACATACGAGTAGAAGAAATGATCAAAAGGAGAAAGGGAAGTGCGTAGGAAAATAAAGAGGAAAATTAATTTTTGCCTCTATAGAGTAGCATAACTACTTTTATTTAGGGGAGTTTAACTTTCAACTCCTATTTTGGGATATGACATCTCTTTTACTCCTATTTTGGTCCATCTCCCACAAATTATATTAAAACTCTCTACCTCCCAGTTTTTGAGTAGTACTTATTATTATTTAAAAAGACCTTATTAAATACCTAAAATGGACACAATCAATCAAGATTTCTGGTAACCAAAAAGATTCTATTTTTTTAAAATCAACTTAAATGAAAGTACTTGTTCCTAAATGAAAATATTTCATTCATATAAAAAACTAAGTATTTTAAAAACTAAAGTGTAAAAAATATAATGAGAATTGAAAACATGGTAAATGAAACTCATTTGAATCATTTTTGTTTATCACTTGACAAATAAAGACTCCCCGTGTCCCAAATTGATTTGTAAAGGTATGATAATTTTGTTCAACCATAGTAGAATTTTTGGATTGAAAGATATTGCATTAAATATTTGATGAATTGAATTATAATTAAAAAGCATTTAATCAATATCACTTATGGAGTAATTAATAGCAATTTGAGAGTAAAGATGTGGTATAAATTGCAATGAAATAGCTTAGTAACGGTGTAATGGCAAAGCTGGAATTGAAAAATAGTGTACAACATCAAAAGCATAATGTGCAATTTTTGTGGATTGAAAAAGTACATAAAAATAAGGGGTACCTAACCCTCTTTCATATATAGATAATATAGATAGGTATAGATAGAAAGATACACACATACATACATACATACATACATACATACATACATACATACATACATACATACATACATACATGCATGCATGCATGCATGCATACATGCATACATGCATGCATGCATGCATGCATACATACATACATCCATACATACATACATACATACATACATACACACACACACACATATACACACACACACACATACATACATACACACACATACATACATTATATATTTGTATTATTACATCACTTATGATAAAGCTGAGGCTGCAGGCGAGAACATTATATTAGGTGTTAAAAGTGGGGGTTGTTTGGGACACACAGTCTGAAGTGAAGGAACACCAAGCATCCTTAGTGATGAACTGCATCCACAACTCATCACCGCCTTTATCTTGATCATCTTCGATGTTGTTGCAAGAGGACGACGTGAACGGAATGTCGGGTGAAGGTGTTTCATAGCAGGCCACGGTGACCTGCCGCGTGAGGACTTGCAAATTGCTACTACTGCTACTGCTACCAATTGCGGCATGCGGCTGTTGTGCTTGCAAGTCTTCGATTTTTCCATAGCATATTCCGTTTTTCTTGAACACACGGCACAGTGCGTATGAGTCCTGCACCATGTATACATACATCTCCAATGTAATTGATGAGTTTTAATATACGGACAGCCGCACAGCCAAGGGTTTGTGTTCAAATAACATACTCCTTCCTTCCGTCTCTAAAATTTTCTCCTTTCGATTAAACAATCACTTGTACTCTTACTAATTCTTACCTAATTAATCACATCATACTTTTTCGGTAATAATCTACACATCACTTCCTACTCAATCCATTACATCAATGGTAATTTGGGAATTAACACAAAATATCCTTCCTTAAATCCCTTAAAATAGTCATGTCATAAGTTCAGGTGTAGATTCAAACTTGAATAATACTTGTAATTTATTGGCAGGTGTGTATATATATATATATATATATATATATATATATATATATATATATATATATATATATATATATATATATCCTACACATAACTACATAAGAGTAGATATAAAATTGGAGAAAAAACCTCTTTTAGCTCCCGTAGTCAAGTGTGCGATGCACGCCAGTACCCATTGCTTTGCCTTTTTATTATGCTCCTTTTATAAATTTATAAGCTAATGAGAAAACCCTAGTTTGGTGAAAATTGTGTTGTTGTTGTTGGTTCTGTGAATTCTGTGCAAAATTGCACAAAATTCTGTGAGTTCTGTGCAAACTAGCAATTGTGGTGCGTTATACGAACTGCATAGGTTTTGAAAAAACTTATTTGCATCAGTTGTTAGCTAACAACTGATGCAAAAGACACAAATTGGGAATGGGATTTTGCATCGGTTGTTAGCTAACAACCGATTCAAAAGTCCGTTCCCAGTGGTCTTGCTACCAAGAGACGGTTACAAAGTCTTGTGACCATTAACCATGGTCTGTTGCATAGATCATTAAGCATGATCAATGTTACGCATAAGCAATATCGGAGTACCAACTTTTAGTGTTAGTTTGTGATTTTAAATTCCTGAAGATCTAATCGAGTTCTAATACTTTGTAGTGTGTAAAACGCCAACTGAAGATCTAATCGAGTTCGTTTTATATATATAAAAAACTCTGGCCTAATTCCTAATATTACTTAAAGAACAAAAATATTGATCATGTTTTGTTAAAAAATCACATTTGAATTGGTATTAAGAGGACTTGAAGAATAAAAAATGCATTTAACTTTTTTATTAAATCTGGAACAATGTAAAATAAAAGACTAAAATGTGAAAAGAAGAATATAAGGAAAATGCGTGATGCTTACATTGTTCCAAGGTCCACATTTAAAATGTTAACTTCCTCACATTTTTCATGGGCTTGCATATGGATATTTTCTTTTTCTGTAAAGGCCCACTTCTACTTTATTACAAAAAATTAAGGTACATAAAATAAGCATGGACCTTAGGTCCACGAAAGAATTTTCTAAGAGAGAATTCAAAATATGACAACTTATCATGCATGCATGTGGAGGAGGCTCGCTACATATTCCTTGTTGGTATCTCTAATCTTATGGTACGGAGTATATTTTCTTATTTATTTTATTCTTTGTGCGTGTCTGTATCTTGTTATATAAAGGGAGCAATAGTGCAACACTCCTTTCTTATAATAGTGTAGACGTGAATCACTAGCCATAGAGTGAGTTGTTTTGTAGGGAGAATATCAAATGTTGTTTTAGTGTTGTGTTTGTTGTACCTCAATTGATATTATAGTGAAAAGTTTAATATGAATGGATCATGGTTTTCCCTCTTTTTAGAAGGGTTCCACGTAAAAAATCTTGTGTCCTGTGTCTTTTACTTTAACTGCATTTTTTTTATTTCTTTGATATTATTTTTAGTGTTATGTTGTTGTTTGAGAGGGTAATTTTCCCCAAAAAATGGTAATTTTCCCCTTCACTATATAATCATATCACAACTTCCTCCATTCTTCACCAAATTCTTCAATTCTTTCTTCTATTCTGTTACTTTGAGTGAGGAGAATACACTGGTGCTTTCAATTTAGTGAGGTGTAACCGGAGCTAGCCAAAAACCTCGCCGGAAGTTTTGCCGGAAAATTTCCAAAACCTCCATTTAAGCTCGAGGTAAGCCCGTAGCTATATCTAGTGACTAGAATGTTCGAATAGATCATTTTTACGTTCATAAACGGTCGTTTGGTTGAGTTTTGTGTTTAGCATGTTTGAAGAACCAAAAATCACAACCCTTGAAAGTGTTGTTAAAACTACGAATTTATGATGCCAAAATGATCTAGGAACCTTGGAGAATATTTCCATATAGTTTAGTCGAAGTTTGGTGACTAAAAATGATATTTCCAAAAATTGGCCCGAGGTTGAAGATGACATTGTTCAAAACTACATGCAGAACGGTAGCCAGCTATCATCCGGATGGTACCTTGGTACCGCTGCAACGGTAGGCGGGATCGTCGGAACGGTAGGCTATCTACCGTCTAGACGGTACCTTGGTACCGCTGGGATGGTAGGTCGTACCATCGGAACAGTAGGCTAGCTACTGTCCCCACCGCAAGAAAAATATCCATCTGGCGGTCCCTAATGCCAAAACAGTAACTCGTACCGTTTGGGCGGTACTAAGGTACCGTTAAAGGTACCGTCTAACTCCGATGGATGTTTAAATATTGTTTTGAAAATTATTGTGTCTGAATACCAATTTAGTAGCAATCCGATCCATTGGTCCTTGTATTCGGGTCACGCAGGTTGGGGTGTTACAACTAACGAGTCTTTGTGCAAGGAATTTTCCGAGTTAATGACTAGCGAGTTTGAAATGTCAATGATGGGTGAGCTCACGTTCTTTTTGGGGCTTTAAGTGAAGCAAATGAGAGATGGCACATTCATTTGCCAAGCTAAGTATTGCAAAGAACTTCTAAAACGGTTCGAAATAGACAACGCCAAAGCCATGGCAACTCAAATGAGCACATCCGACCATCTTGACAAAGATGAGAAAGGTAAGGAAGTAGAGGTCAAAAAGTATCGAGGTATGATCGGATCCCTTCTTTATCTTACTGTTAGTACGCCGGATATCATGTTTAGCGTATGCCTTTGCGCAAGGTATCAATCATGTCTAAAGAATCACACTTAACGGCGGTAAAACGGATCATGAAATATCTTGTTGGCACGGTTAACATTGGGCTGTTGTATCCCAAAGGCTTTTTTTGTCATCTCGTTGGTTACTTCGACTCAGACTTTGCCGGTTGCAAATTAGACCGTAAAAGTACGAGTGGGACATGCCACTTACTTGGTAGTTCTTTAGTTTCATGGTTTAGTAAGGAACAAGTCAGTGTTGCGTTATCGACAACCGAAGCGGAATACGTTGCCGCCGGTAGTTGTTGTGCTCAAATCCTTTGGATGAAGCTACAACTAGTGGACTATGGCCTTAGTATCAATTGTGTTCCTCTTCGTTGTTATAATACCAGCGTCATAGGCTTGACGAAGAACCCCGTTCTTCACTTAAGGACGAAACACATTGACATTAGGCATCATTTCATTAGAGATCATGTTCTCAAAGGTGATGTTGAAATTGAGTTCGTTGAAACACACAACCAATTAGCCGACATTTTTACAAACCCTTTAGATAAAGAGTCGTTCTTCCGCATTCGAAGTGAACTGGGAATCCTTGACTCCAAGATGATCTAAGTTGTGCATATTAACTTGTTAAATGTTTACTAACTTGAGCGTCGGAGAATTTTTTCTTTTTTGTAGGTACCCCGCTCATAAACTAAAAATCAAGGGGAACCATGCCAACATTGCTGTCCAGAGGGTAACATCGTTGTTCACACAGCATTGTCAAATTAATCAACATCGATGTTAAAGCAAACACCGTCAACACTACTTGGACCAATAGCGATGTCCATTCAATCAACATCGCTGTCACAGGGAGTTCACTGATTCCTTGTTTTCTAGAAACTATTGTAAGATGTAGGTTTTGCAACATCACTGTTACTTCAAACACACCTTTTTCAATCAAAAACCAGAATCTTCTTCAACAACGATGTACCCCCATCCAACATCGCTGTTAATTTTTTTTTACAAATTTTTTTCTTATCGTAAAAGAGCGATGTAGTATTTTGAAAAAGCGCTGTTCTAAAGGGTTCAACTACTTACTCATTTCCCAAAACTTTTAGAACATCGCTGTAGGGGTTTGAACATTGCTGTCAATTTTTTAATTGGTTTTAAACTTATCGCATAACAGCGCTGTAGAGAGGCTTTACATCGATGTCTCGACAGCGATGTAGACCTTTGGACATCGCTGTTCATCTCAATGTTTTCAAAACAATATCCGTTGGGCACTTAATTAAATGCTCCTACAACCATATTTTTGAAATTTTGAACGTTGGAAACCTTTCTCCCTATATATTTGGACCCCTACCCTTCACTTTTACACACACAAACATCAATTCTCTCAATCTACTTGCATATTTCATCAACCGTTTTCAATTCTTCTCATTCTTCTCAATAATGGTCAAGGACAAGAGCAGGGTTTTACTCCGGGAAATCCAAGTCCAAATCCCGGGCTCCGGGAATGATCTCCGACGACCGGTTTTACTATCAAGACGGGTCGTACCTGTGGTTCGACACCAAGGAAGAACGAACCCGCTTCCTCACGTTCTTCTCCAAGTGGGCAGTGGCGCCGCCGAGGACGCTCCCGGAATGACTCCCAGAGAAGCTCGGCTACGACACTCTTGACGCGCAGCTGCACCAATCCGGGCTGTGGCCGTTCGACTCCGGCGTGAGGACAACGTGCTCTATAGCCTCGTCAAGTCAACACCGATCGAGGTCACGGTGGAGCAGCTTGGGCGCATCGCCGGCCTACCCTACCAAGGCAATGACATCTCCAACTATGGTGGAGAGGACTGGGTGATCAACAACGAAGGGTTGGTCCTCAACGAGCTAGGCATCACCGACCTCATTCCCCACGCCACCGGTCGCCCCACCATCCACTCTACTAGCCCTGAGAGCCGCCTCCTCCTCTACATCGTGTCCCGCATAATAAAACCCTGGAAGCACGGACACACGATTATGTCCAGCGAGAACCTCAAGCTCCTCCAAGCAATCATGCACTCGACGCTAATCAATTGGGCAAAGTTTGTCATGATTTACATGACGGACGCCATGTCTCTCGCCAACGACCACCTCCTTCCATACCCCTTCTTGGTGATGGATATCCTTGAACATTTCAAGGTTACCACCACCGTTGGCCCACTCACCAAGGCCACGAAGATTTGGACGATCCACGACCGAACCTTCAAGAAGCGGTCGGAAAACGCTGCCCCTGCCACTGCCGAATGACGCCGCAATGCCACAAGCCCAGTCGCACCTCCGGCCCGCTCCAACCTGGCCTCCATCGCCGAATCCCTCAACCGTTTGACTCTCACAATCGACGGGATGGGCGGGTACCTTGAACGGATCGACGAAGCCGTTCAATGCCAGGGTTACGCCATGAATGCATACTTCCAACGCGTTAACTACGTCCCTCCCGCCGTACTAAGACACGTTTCTTGGCTAAGTGTACGGTGAAGAGGACGAAGAGGAAGGCTCCTACGCTCCTTCAAGCTCCCCGGACGAGGAAGAATTTGACAATGCCATTGACGCTGATCTAATGGACGTCGAGGACGATGAGGAGGAAAATGAAGACGACAAAGAAGAGGACGAAGACTAGGCCGCACCTAGATTTTTTTATTTCGTTTCTCTCCTTATTGTCATTGTTTCTTTCAATTTCTTTCGTTGTACTCCACTTTTCCCTTTGAATAAATAAAATTCATGCTTTTATCTTTTTGTTAATGTCAAAAGGGAGAAGATAATGGCTATGCATATACTAAGGGGGGATGTTTCTAAAACGTTTGTTTTTTTTTAAACGACAATTTTTTAAAGCACAAATTAAGGGGGAATTGTTTCACACATATTCAAAATTCAAATATCCCTTCGTATGCCTATCCCAATCTTGTTTGCCATTATCAAAAAGGGAGAAATTGTTGGAACACGGGTTTATGTTGGCCTTGAATGTCGTACCCCGTAACCATTTTGATGCTCTAAATAAGTCTTCAAAATGCTACTAACATTATTTGCAGGAATAAACCAAATTCCAAACCTCTATTAGCTTGATTAGCATCACCGAGATGTACTCCTACAAGTTTAGAAATATTTGTGTAAATGTAACGATATATTTTAATGATTTACTTATCCCCTTTCACTCAAAAATTATTTCTAAAACGTCAAATATATTCTTAGTTGGGGTTATTTTGAAAACGGAACACAAAAGTACAGATTTGGAAAATTTCACAGGTCCAACGGTACCTGGCTACCGTGTTCACGGTACCAGGGTACCCCCGGTAGCCATGTGAACGTACCACTGTACGTTTCACTTGGGAGGTACACGGTACTCCCCTACCGTGATAACAGTACCTGGGTACCGTCGGTAGGCTTGGGACGGGAGGCCAGACCGTTTGAACCCAGGTACCGCCAGAGACAAATCAAGTTTTAGGCCTACACGGTACCCCCTAGCGGTAGGCTGTACCGTGGTCACAGTACCTAGGTACCGGACAGTACTGACCCTACCTTGAAGGGTACCGTAACCGTGTAGCAAATTGCCAATTTAACTTCAAATCACCCCAAATCACTCCTTAATGGCATTTAACGTTAAAAACTCATATTTTAACCTTCCAAACTCCTATATAAACCCCCTCTAAGTCTCATTTTTAATACAACAACATCCCAACTATATCTAAACCCTATTTCTCTAATCTTAAGTGATTCTTAAAGCTTTGTTCATATTTTTCTCATTCTTTTTTGAATTTAAGCTTTCGTTATTTTTATATTCACACACAGGGGCATTTGTGATTCATTATTTTATATCTTGCCTATAGGCTTTTGTTATTGTTGATTTAATTTTTCGTTCTTCTCCTACCCAATTCATATTTGTTATCATTTTGGTAGAGAAGCAACATCAATCCTTATTGATTTGTAAAAGGTGTGAATAGCGTTTAAATCCTCATTTTTAAGTTGAAGATAGCCTTAAAATCTTCAGTTGTAAACGGTTGAGATAGCCGTAGTAAAATCTTGTTTGCTTATTGGCAAGGGTTGTTTTCCAAACCTCGCTTGAGTCTTCTTAGTGAAGCCAAACAAGTTTGTGGAGGTTAAATCCTTGAGGAGGAGCCTCGAGGTACCGGAGTAGGGAGTTTCCAAACTAGTATAAAATCGCTTGTGTCGTACTTTTATCTTTTATACTTTTCTTGCACCTTTTCCGCTATTACTTTGCGCATAAGTTTTTTTTACGAAAAACTTTCAAACACCCTAATTCACCCCCCTCTTAGGGTGTAAACCGACTTTCATTTTACGCCTACGTCGTTCAAAACTGTGTTCTTTTTATAACATGTTTTAATAATGCCAAACCGCTGCAAAAACAAGATCATATTGAACAATCCAAAGTCGAAGAAACATGGCATGATGATAAAGTGAAAACGGAAATCAAGAACCAAGGACGAAGACATAGAAATAGTTGAGTCGGTCAAAATGTGATCAAGACCTGCATAAACTTCTCAAACTTGGCTCTCTAGGAAAATTAGATTAAAATATCTTTCATGCATCATCAAAAACATTTTTCACAAGTTTTAAATAAGCCAAAACACTTGGTGTTCACCCAAACCAAAAACCAAGCCATCCGGCGTTCGGCTTTCAGAAATCGGCATTCAGTTTTCAGAAATCGGCGTTCAGCATTCAATTATCGGCGTAGGTTTTTGGCGTCCGAACCAACCATGTGGTTTTCAACATTTTATGATTGGTTTTTACTTCTGGGCTCAATTAAATAGTTCTCCAACAAAAACACTTCGAAACCCACCTTTTGTTTTTAGTCATTTGGTAAAAACCATGCGAAACGGAATAAACTTGACTAGCCGTGGTGTTTACCTAAATGACTCACAATAATTTTGGTTCAGTTTCTCTATTAAGGGGAGTTGCTGTCTCTTTTGGGAGTGCACTTGATATCTGGGTTTTCTTGAGAGCACTTGGGTTATAGTCTGTGTTATTATTTTCCTTGATCTTCTATGTTCCTCAGCATAATTATACGCTTAATGCTTGGGTTTCTGCATCTTGGTTCAGATTATAATAGGGATAGAGTAATCCTAAGGTCTTCAATAGCGGGTGGTTTTCTGCAAGATTGGGTCTTTTTCCATCTGTTAGGGAAGTGTTGATGGAAGAACCACCTCAAGAGGGACTGGTTTGAGTCTTTTTTCTCTTGTCAGGTAGGATGCTCCACCTTGGGGATTGGCATCAGGGGCACAACAACAGCATCACGACAGAAACCTAAGGGTGTTATCTTATGCAGTGTACCCCATGTGAACTTCCAGGATCATGGATATCACCTTTTTTCTTTGAGCTAGTTATGTTTTGGGCTTTTCTCTTTGGTTTTTCTTCTCTTGGATTTTCCTCTTCATCTTTTTTTCGGCCACTTTGTTGGGGGCCAAAGCCACCCCCACCTTGTACCTTTCTTTTAATAAATTTCCTTTATAAAATATATATATATATATATATATATATATATAAAATAAAAAGAAATATTATTAAAATAAAAGGAAAGAAAGGAAAAGGGTGGCCCACGCCCTAACAACCGGACCAAATCAAGGAACCCAAAAGATAATGCCTAGATACATTCTAAAACAAGGGCAAGAAGATAAAAATGAAACCCAAGCTGGCAGTGCTGTCTAACATCAATTCAGGTACGGTCTTCACAGCATCTGTACAGTACTAATCATGTTTCGTGCATTCTGTTCCATCAACTAGCTTTATTTTTTTTTCTGGCCAAAAGCTTCTCTAGAAGCAAGAATTCCAGTTGGACCAAACAGTAAGAACAATAAGAGATTGCAGCATAAAACTGCCAACTAGAAGCCATTGACTACCTATTTCTAACAAAAGCTAAATCGCAACCCTTAGTTGATAAATCATTCCTCTTGGGTTTCATCTGAAGGAAAATCATCTGCCGTGTGTAAATCTATTGTAGAACGAGATAAAAATACCGTAAATATAGTCCATCTACGTAACTCAAGCTCACCATCTCCATGAATCTAATTGCTTCTCTAGATTCCCGAGAGGGGAGAACAAAACAGCATATGAAAGGAATTCTAGACAGTCAGAGTTGTAGACCTTCAATCTCTAAGGCACTGTCCAAAATGATCAATAAATCCTCTTTTAACCTAATGTCTAACTAAAAGACTACACAGTCTCAATAGCTACATCCAATCCCTCGAATACCCTTGCACAAATATACTAGAGTTCTCAGGCCTTGGTTGTTCTTGATTTGGTGAAATGTAAATGAGGTTGCATGAAATTGATATCCAAAACAGAAACACTTAACTTGCTGCTCCAAAACAACGTATGGTCAGTGTTTAAAATCATCCTCTTCATCTTCAATATCTTTTGCCAAACTCTTTTTTAGCCTTTTCTTTGCTTTCTTCTTTTTGTTGAGTATTACCGCGGGAAAAATAAAATAAAAATTAATCCAAACTTATAAAACGTTCCGATTTTACAACGAAAATAAAGAAAAAGAAAAATGGAGTCTTCGGAATCTCGAACACGAACGAGCACGAACGGACAAAACTGGAAATAGGAAGGAAAGCGGAGTCGCCGAAGCTTTCCTTAAGGTAGTATTGCCCGCCTCCCGCACTGGCAAACGTGGGCAATCTCCTCCCAGGATAAAACCGCAACGTGCTAAGTCTAGAGCGGTAGAACAGAGCACCGGCGAACGATAATGACGGAGAGCTATCGCCGGAGAAGATGATCGGAGTTGGGGAGTTGTCGGAACTTTCAGAACACAGAGATAGAGTGAGATTTTTGAGTGTATTCTTCATCTCTCGACCAACCTCTCCTTAAATAGGAGGAGGCTTTAGCCCCGCCACGCCGTAGACGCGGGCGCGCCACGCCTCGCCACGCCACGCCCCGCCCCGCCCTCCCCCGCCCTGACGCGCGCACGCGTGTCGTGCCGTGTCGTGCCGAGCCGAGCCAGACAGACGGCGGCGGCGGCGGTGCGCGAGGAGTCCTCTTCTTGTTCCTTTCATAAGCTCAATTAAGTGCTCAAGTTTAAATATGAGAATGTGAAAGGTTCAAGATCCGGTGTGGGACAAAGTCTTTTACTCTTCCCATGTGTTCGACTTTGTGAATTAATTTCTCATTCACCCGAGCACCATTTTTAGCGTGTAATGTGTCGAAACACTTATTTCACTTACGCGATTTAAACGTCCATAATTATTTCGGAAAATAATTTTGTGGACCCTACCGAATTTATGTCCAAAAATTGTCCAATTTGTTTAACATTTTCCAACAATCCCCCACATGAATGAAAATTAATTCATGTAATTGGCAATGACTCTGAAGTTGATACTTGCAAGAGTAGGTAGGTTTTATGCCTTTGAACCTACTCCTTGTAAAGTATACCTTCTCTACTGGCTGTTCAGTAGAACGTGATGTCTTTGAACTGTACTGCCGTTTATGTAAACGACGATATACAATACACAAGTTTCAACCAACCATCATTCCGTTCTCATGGGTGTGCCCATTATGGTCGTGGAACACGCATATGGTTCTGTGAGACTGTCAGACAGGATCAGCCCGAAATCCTTCTGTTGAAGCGACCGCACTTCACTCTTACATAGGTGATTCTTTTAAGAGTATCCCGATTACTCCACTTGGACCTCGTTGTCCATAGTTCAAGAATCATTAAAGCTTCATGCTAACCTCATCGTTTTCGGGAGTCACTACATCTAAGTAGGAACGGAGGGGTGTAAAGTCGGTGATCCGGCTTGCCCCCACAGTGACCGTGCTTTGTCCCACGAGTAGGTTGTCCCATTGAACCCAGGTATCACCTAGATTGGGTTTTCCTTCATGGAACGTTCCCAGCACAGGGTAGGGCTTTCAGACCCATTCCTACTACCAACTTCTCATGTTGCTCATTGGTTAACCCTTTGGTTAATGGATCCGCTAAATTATCCTTTGACTTGACATAGTCAATCGAGATAATACCCGTATTGAGAAGTTGTCTAATGGTTTTGTGTCTACGGCGAATGTGTCTAGACTTACCATTATACAATTTGTTCCGAGCTCGTCCTATTGCTGACTGACAGTCACAATAAATGCAAATAGGAGGAACTGGTTTTTCCCAGTTTGGAATATCCTCAAGTAAATTCCGAAGCCATTCGGCATGTTCTGCACACTTATCTAGTGCTATGAACTCAGATTCCATTGTGGATCTAGCAATTAACGTTTGTTTTGAGGATTTCCAGGAAACCGCTGCACCAGCTAACATAAAGATAAATCCGCTTCTGGATTTTGAATCCTTATTATCCGCAATCCAATTGGCATCAGTGTACCCTTCCAGCACGGGTGGATACCTGCTATAGCATAGGAAGGGTAGCCATACCTGCCATGGTGGATCTAGAATTTACTCATATATATATATATATATATATATATATATATATATACATATGATGGAAAAATGGTTTCTCTCTCTAGCTTCCCGGAGCCCTCTCCGGCCTTCAACGCCGGCGTGGTTCCTAGGTCCAAACTCTTCTCCGATCTCTTCAAGACGGTAAGAGACGACCGCCAACCAGCCGCCAAAGTGTCCTTCAAAGGGTGCCCTTCCATCTCTTTCTCCAAGGAAGATGTAGAGGAGCTTTCCCACCGTTTCAGATTCGCACTCATTGGAAGATTCAAGCGTCGTCCTCCTATCACTGTGGTGAAGAATTTCCTTACCAGGTTGGGTCTTGCAGGGGGATTTACGGTGGGGGAGCTTAACCAGAATTCCATCCTCATCAACTTTGAGAAGGATGAGGACTACTAGCGTTTCTTCTTCCGTAAATCCTGGACTCTTGGTAAGGATATCATGATTGTCACAAAATGGTCTCCCAACCTGAAACCAGCAGAGGACTCCCCTATAGTCCCGGTTTGGATCACCATCCCCAACCTTCCTATTCATCTCCATGATCAAAAAGCCTTGTTCTCAATTACCTCCGCCCTCGGTAAGCCTTTGAAAGTGGATCATGCTACGCTGAATTTCTCCCGACCTCATGCAGCTAGGGTTTGCATTGAACTCGACGTCTCTAAAACCCTTCATCAGCGGATTCATATCAAACATGTGGAGGAAGATCTTTTCTTCCAGGTGATTTATGAAGATCCCCCTCCTTTTTGCTCATCATGTTTAAAGCTTGGTCATCATCTCTCTTCTTGCAAACCGGAAAAACTTCCGGCCAAGTTGCCGGATTCCCTTCCGGGAAAAGACAAGAAGGATGAACATGATTGGACTACGGTGCAGAGGAAAGGGAAGAGCCAACAAGTGCAATCCAAGGAGAAATGGGTCCCTAAACCCACTTCTTCACAGCCTTGTACAACAGAAACACTTTAAGGGGAAACTTCCAAATTAGAGGCCAGACGTAGACCACAGGTCTGTTTTATTGATTCCCATGAAGTTTTGTATCTGGATCCTCATGGTTTAGCCCATTCCTCTTTTGAGCCCATTAACAAGGTACCATCCACTGAGCCCATTATTTCACAAACTTGCACCAATCCCATTCTGCTTAGCTCAGTGCCACTCATGCCCATAATTAAAGATCCCAAGGAGCAGCAGAAGGTTTCTCTTGACCCTTCTGACACCCCAGTTATTCAAACTTCCTACTCTGCTCCTTCCTCTCCAGTTGCTAGCTCTTGCACCTCACTCAGGATTAGAACACGCTCAGACTACAAGAAGTCTGCTAATGGGGTTTTCCAAACCCTTCAATGATCAATGCCCTTTTCTGGAATATTCGGGGAGTCTCCAAAAGGTGCAAGAGACTCTCCCATCTCAAACGGCACCACTGCATTGATTTCTTTATTCTCATTGAACCTTTTCTTCCTGCAGATAGAGGAAAAAACTTTGCTTTTATGTTGGGTTATAATGGTTTCTATTCGGTTGCCAATAATAAAATCTGGTTCCTTTGGGACCAGTCTAATTTCAGCCTTGTTGACATGAGTGATTTTGCCCAAATTGTCCACTTCACCTTGCAGGACAAACACAACAACTCCTTTTCTATTATTAGCACTGTTTATGGCTCCCATAGTGCAAAGGAGAGGACAGCTCTTTGGGACAACATTGCATCGTTCAATAACCTCAACCATCACCCTTGGTGTCTTGGAGGGGATTTTAACTGCATTTCAGACTCTCTCCATCACAAAGGAGCAAGATTGCCTGACTTGGGAGCAATTTCTGACTTCAGTAATTGCATCACTAACTGCAACCTTCAGGAATGCAGCTTCACTGGACCTCACTTCACTTGGCATGGTTCTAGGAGCAATGGTAATGTTTGGAGACGTTTGGATAGAGTTTTTTATAATGCAGAATGGGGGGAACACTGGGAATCAATCTCTATGCATCATCTAGCTAAAGGAGGCAGTGACCACTGCCCTATCCTTTTCTCCTCTAAGCAAGGATGTGGACAAGGACCCAAATCTTTTAGATTTCAGAATATGTGGTTACTCAGGAAGGATTTCCTACAGGTTTGCAAAGATACTTGGGAGGAAATGCCTTACTTTGGGGGTATGCGTTGTCTTTTCTCTAAACTTCAACACCTCAAAGGAAAGCTCTCCTCCTGGAACAAGGAACACTTTGGTAATATTTTTGATCTGCTCAAGGAGGCAGAGGCTGAAGCTATTAAGGGGGAGAAACTCTTTGAAGACAACCCAACAACTGAAAATAGATCTATCCTTAACCAAAAAAGGGCCATCTTAGCAGATTTGTCCAATAGAGAATTCATTTTCTGGAAGCAAAAATGCAACCTTAAGTGGCTGCAGGAGGGTGATGCAAATACTAAATTCTTTCACAATTTGGCCAAAGCAAAGAGAAGCCAGCAGAGGATATCCCTTTTCAAAGATGACAGAGGTAGAATCATTGACAATCCACCAGAAATGGAA